ATCAGCAGATGTGAAGGAGTGAAGATCTAGATCAGCAGATGTGAAGGAGTGAAGATCTAGTATAACGGCTGCTTTTTTACGAAGAACCCTTCGCAGGCGCTCTCGGGAAAAAGAAGTCAACATCTTCCCTATAGATTCCCCAAATAGTGGATTTTCCATTCGGAAAAATGACAAATCATCAGCAAATCCAAGAATGACAGTAATTTACGTTGGGAATCATCAAAAATTGCTATGAATCATGGAGAGAACGGCATAAAAAGATCCTAACATACCAAGCAAGGCCTCGGCGTTGGCTTCCACTGGGCGTTCCGCACATGAGCGAAGTGGTGATGGGCGAACACGCTCTGATGATCATCAAGAGCGACAGTGGGATCAGCGACCTCAGCACGCCAGGGCGGCACTCAATGGGGATTCAAACAACATCTGGGGGGCTCCCCAGTTTTCCGTTGGTTTACAGTATCAATTTATAAATCCCGATAAATCCACCCTTTGTACAGCTAGAAGTGTTATAAATCATAGTTATATATTGGTTTTTGGAGTTGAATATAAACCAACTTAGCTATCTAGGGGGCCCTACTTTGCATAAATGGGTTGATTTTCTATTGCCATGGTTGATTATCAGACGCTATTTGGGATGATGCTGGTGTGCAGTTTGGGGCCCTTTTAAAAACTCTTTAAAAAAGGGGCAAACATTGTTCTGCTGATCATGTTTGAAATGTGTCCTTTGTTGCGATGTGCGGATTTTTTTCCGGATCTATGTCTCGTGTTTGCATTAAGTCTCAGGGACACTTGGCCTGCTTGGAACGGCCTCAATAACTAACTATTATTGTATAATTATACAGGGATATACAGGGTATTGTACCACATTTTTACTTAGACCGGGTAATTGGCATTGATTGTACCACAAAACCTACCCTTCCTGTAACCCTTGTTATATACAAACAACTAGAAATTGCTAGAAACAAATGGAAGACCTATTCAAGACCGATCATGATGCTGGCATGGCCAATCCACATCTATATCTGTTGATGTTACTCGCCTTTGGATTGGTCGTATCAGAGTTGCCACAGTTATGGCCCGAGTGATACCAGTTATGGATGTCAGTAGGTCACCCCATTTATGGAATCACGGTCCCATTTATAACCATAAAAATAAATAGAAATAACACAAAATAACAATTTATAACCATACAATAACAATTTGTAACTAGATATAACTGGTAAAGGGCCCTAACTGCTGCACGCGAAAAGTGCCCCGAGTTTTTTTCTGCCACGGTCCGTCTCTCTCGGTGTCCATTATGGTGCAGGCCGTGGCAAAGTGGTGTGAACTGAGTGACGAGTTTCACTTCAACCTGCGACACAAATATAATGTGGGTAAAACAATGCCATAGACCATCCCGCAGTCATCACCATGATGGGATTGAAACCATTCCCAAATAGGTGGTTTATGATATTGTTTTACCCACATTACAAGTTTTAAAATTCTACGACATTCTAAGACAATTGCCGCAATATATAGACATAGGTAGAAGATGGTATAGAAGCTTTCAAAAGCCAAGAAGGCAGCCTTAGATGGGTGCAAAGTGACCTCCACTTCAACACTGTTCCCACCGTCCTGGATGGCCCCACATAACATCAGCGGATGCATGCGCCGCCCTCCGCAAGAAGGGCGGCAAATGCACCCGCTGTGGCGACCTGCTGCACGATCTTTTACTTGAGAGCCTTGAGAGCTGTCTCCACCATATTCTGGATGGCCCCACGTAACCACAGATCCATCTGGAAGAATAGCGGCGAATGCCAGAATGCTGTGGCCCGGATCTGATCTTGGACTGCAGAGCTGTCACGACCAGCGTGTGGTTTGCCCCCTGTGACAACGGATCCATCTGCCAGGATGGCAGCAGTGACTGATAGGAACAAACTTTGTACTTAAGCCCGTAATCTGCAGTAGCCGTCCTAGCTGCTCTTGGACTTCAGTGAGGTCAACAACTGGATCTGAGTAGCCATACAACAACAGATCCATCTGCTCGGCAGGCAATGAATGCCCATGGCGTGACATGAACGTCGCCTGGATCTGCTGTACATTTTCTGAGCTGATCTTGAACTGCAGAGCTGTCACCACCATATTCTGGACCCCAAGTCACAATTCTGCCACCTCCAAAGTACCACAATGCGAAGGCTTCTTGCGTTGCCGCTACCTTTGCTTCGGCCCGGCTATCGCTGTCCCCGCAGCGGAAGTTGCGTCATTGCGTCCAGTCAACATAGGTGCACCCCGCGCAAGTGATAAATTTTAGGAAGCCCTGTCCAATGTCCAAGTGCTTTCTGGGCCAAAATCTTCCATCCACAACTTTGGACGGGAGCCATCCTCGCGTTACCGTGGCCCGGCCGGGGATGCAGTGGATTTCTCGATATTTCTCGCCAGAAATAGGATCCCAATGGGTCGCATATCCCAGTGCACCCCTAGGCTATCCTAGAACCGATACGCCTGCGTGCAATGGACACCAAGACTGAACACCTGTCGGCATGCGACTCCATGTGCAGCCCACCGAAAGAAAAAAGCTTGTGTGTGTTCCATTAACAGTATTACAATGATAGAACCACTAGTTAAATAACTATATAATTATGATATACAATACTATTACCGGATACTACTCCACATACACCCAAACTTCCATAATTATAATCCAGTTTGTGTGGGATCAGGATACTGATGGATACATTTTATCCCAGTTCCAGACATGCTAACAGTACCCCAATTCTATCCTCTGATCAATCACCCACATAATATATTGTTGGTTCTGTATCCCAATAAATAGTAATATTCTTATGTTGTGTTTGTTGAATGTTAGATATATTCATCGTCTATTCAACACTATATGTTCTTATATACGTTTTCTTATGTTACAGATATTCATGTTCTAAAAGAAAAACAAGCTCAGCATCTTTGGATCATCTCATCCCCATGTGGATGTTCCATAGTTTTTTCCATCCAGCGGGCTGGATACCCATCGTTCCCAGTCACATGGCCAGCAGGTTGAAGCCCGTGTTCAGCGAAAAGCAAAGGCTCAAGGCTAGCACCAGACCCACTCGGCTCAGCCTCGAAGGACGCCCGATGAAAAAGCGTTGCGTTTTCAGCAACAGTTCATGGGGATAGATGATAGATAGATTGGGATAGTGATTTTGGTCGTTTTGTATAATTCAAAGCAGCAAAAATGTTGGGATTTAGACAACAAAATTGGGAATAGAAGTAGGTGATCTATCATAAGTTTCTGTTGGCCTAGCAAACACTAAGCAAGCTGCTCACAACGTATTCTTTGCTGGGCGAATCTATCTATGGTTCCTTTTTTCTAATTGGTTTCTATCTTTCAATCTTTCTATGCTAACATTTGGGGTATATTATATTGATGGTAAATGTTACCATATACATATATATATAGCATACATGGATCCTATGGGTATGTTGATCTATCCAATCTGTTGGGTCAATATTGGAAGTGTACCCGCTACTGCGATCTAAATATAATGATCGCAGTATCAATGGGTGTAGTCATAACGCACAATGGATCCGTAGGTGCAACGCACAATGCGATATACATTGAATTCAGGGGCATCAAAAATAGTCCAATATGCATATAGTGGGTTGTCCACAATCATTTGTCCCTAAGAATCAAAAAAAATCCCCAGGTGTAATACATGAAATCTGCAAAGGTAGCAGCAACCCTCAAGGACTGCCCAATTCCAAATTGGTTTATGAAGCCATCCACCTACAGATATCTAATATTATCTAGTAATATTGGTTATTTAAGATAGCTATGGAAGCCATAGCCTTTTAGTTCGAGGATAAACATTATGATTTACCCTAAACATTGTGATTTTCCAGTTCGCTACGGTAAAGAACCAGAGGTTGCTGGATAGGCTCTATGATAAAAAAAATAAATACATGTATAATAGCCTCAATGAATCCCAGTTAAGTAGTTATAAATCATATTTTTGTCTGAGCAATGGCCAGGCCATCTGATGGTTGACTGTTTTCAAAATTGTCCTTGAGAGGCGAGAGGGATAGAATTGATAGAATGTCATTGTAATCAAAAGCCTTTAAAGAACGGCAGAACATCACAGAATATCATAGAACATCATACAAAATCCCATCGAATATCATTGAAAATCACTCCGAAAATCCCAGAATCATTTTGTTCTCCGAAAATCGTCAAGTAAAAACTCCATCAGTGGGTGATATGCCAACGCACACTGCTCATATATGGGTCGGTTATATATATATATATATCTGTGTTCAATTATGTTTACCTGTATAAGCCGTACAATCATATCATATACAGTATAATATCTCCATCAAGAATGACGAGCTTTACATCCCCCATGTTCACAAGCGCTTCGAAAGCATCTCATGTCCAACTGGGCTCTGGAACTCCAATTTCTTTATCCGAAGGGGTCGACCAATCAATCGGCTTCCTGCCAAGATCGACAGAATGATGCAGAAGCTCACCTCAGTCATGGCAAAAACGGACATAAACTGACATCATGTGTGGGATGTGTCCCAATTCCTAGCAAGTCGTGTTGGATAATGATAGCCAACTACAATCAAAAGTTGGATTATATACCATGATAAACCAACTTTTGGCCAAATTCCCAAGAAAAGAAACATAATTTCATGTCTTTTCTGATGGCATTAAGTTGTTTGATGTCGTAATTCAATCATGGATTTTGATGGAGTATATATATATATATATTATATTATGTATATATATATATATATATCCAACCCATATTTTGGACATCTTGAGACCCCTTGCTGAAAAAAGGCGTCACCGGGGTCACCTGATCGCATCGGATGGTTAGTAAACCAGTGACTGATATGGTTAATTCATCTATAACTAGGGATATCTTAAGTGGAATAAGCATACTATCATACTTATAAGTTACTTATAAGTATTCATATCACATGATATCACATCTACTATAGCTGGAATGAGCCAAAAAAGGGAT